GTGTAAGTGTGTGTTGGTACATAGGCTTATATATATGTACACACACACACACACACACACACATACACACACACACATACACACACACCCACACACCCACACACATATATATGTGATGAACAAGAAAAAGATCAAGGTAATGTTCAACAATAGTGTTCAATTCGAACAGTTACCTGCACAAGGGAGAGGCAGTGGACAAGCATATATACATCTAAGGCAACTCATACAGCTAGCGAAGAGCAAATCAAGCGACGCATCAGTCTAGGCTGGAGCGGCAGACAGAGTAGCATACTAACAGGTTCATTGCCATCATGTTTAAAAGGGAAAGTCTTTAACCAACGCAAACTCCCAGTTGTTACCTATGGATCAGAAACATGGACTACAACCAAATTACTGGCGAGGAAAATGATAAATGCCCAGAGAGGGATGGAGAGGTTGAGGCTGGGAATTAGCCTAAGACATCGGATGAGGGCGACGTGGATCAGGGAACAGACGAAAGTAGAAGATATACTCGGGAGCATCAAAAAGAAGAAATGGCAATGGGCAGGTCATATATGTCACAAGCAGGACGACAGATGGACAAACAAAGTAACAGACTGGGCTGTAGACCAATAACAAGATGGCGTGACGAAATAACGAAATTTTGGGGCCAAGACTAGAAACAAACAAGTTGGAAAAAGTTGGAAAACACTGGGAGAGGCCTACGTACTGCAGTGGACTCTAACAGGCTGATCATGATGATGGTATATATATATGAAGGTGTATACAAATACTGTATAAAGGAATGTGTTATATTTTCAAAAGCCTTTCTTGTGTAAAAAAGAAAAACAAATTTGCTTTTACATTCGTCGCAAGGCATCTTGTTCTTTCTTGTACCTCTTCTTATGGTGAAATGCTAACAGGGACAAACGCACATACAATATTCACATATATACTGTATATACGTATATATATATATATATATATATATATATATATATATATATATATATATATATATATATATATATACATATATATATATATATATATGTATATATACATATATCTATCTATCTATCTATATATATATACATATATGCATACATATCTATGTGTATACACATACTCACACACACACACAAAGTGTATATACATATATATATATATATATATATATATATATATATATATATATATATATATATATATATATATATATGTATGTATATTTGGTGAAATATTAACACATGGACACACATACATACATTCTATCTTCCTCTCTCTATATATATACATACATATATATCCAAATATGTCAATACATACATACATACATATATATATATATATATATATATATATATATATATATATATATATATATATATACATATATATATATATATATATATATATATATATATATATATATATATATATATATATATATATATATATATATATATATATATATATATATATATATATATATATATATTTATATGTGTGTGTGTGTAAACACACACGCATATAGACATATATACGGTGCAATATGACTAGCATCGACGTGCTGACATCATGATCCCGTTAAAAGGCATTTCGCAACACCTGCACGCAGCATTCTCGGCGTCGACGTGCTGCTAGTGAGCACGAATACCATTAGACGCGAAACACTAAAAAGCTGAGCGCACAAGGTCGGCCGACAAATTCGGTTTATTAATTCAAGGTCTGGACGAAGGCTGCAAGGTCATGGCGCCTGCAGTGTCCTGTATATAAGCAGCGGTTCGGGCAATCAGCGCACGACAATTCCTGCACTGAAACCCGACAATCATGAAACTTCTGGTAAAGTTTCAAAAGGCTTTGGCCGGATGAGAGCGCACTCTTACGAAGTCTGACTATCTGTAGTGGATTTAAACAACATTTGCGTGTTTATAGGTTTTATTAGCATGATTGTTCTGGTTAGTTATAGATTAGTGTAGATATCACTCTTTTCATATATCGATAAAGTGCAAAAGTTGTTGTATGTTAGTAAACACAATTTAAATCCACCAGCTGATCGTCGCCTTGGCAATGGTCGCCGTGGCCGCCGCCCGACCCTCCGACGTGATCGACATCGAGCAGGACCACATGGAGCACGAGCAGGAGGGCGAGCCTGGAAGGGCCGTGGAGGGCGAGTACTCGTGGGTAGCGCCCGACGGCAACGAGTACCACGTCAAGTACGTCGCCGACCGCTTCGGTTACCGAGTCGTCGAGGACAACGTCCTTCCGGAGTTCCGCGACGCCAAGCCCACCGGCGAAGCAGAGGAGGAGGACGAGTAGTTCTGCGGCTTGGAAGTCTAAACCTCTTTTCTTCATAAAATTAATAAATATTAAATAATGAATGGATAAATAGATTTACGAATAATTGATAAATAAACAAATAAATATATACTTTGACAAAATGCTTGTTTTTACACCTTTTGCTGATGTGTGATTTATCATATTATGTCCTGGAATGACAACAAAAGGGAATTATTGGTCTGTGTCTGTTTCCTTTCACTTGACGTTTCCTTTTCCATCCTTTCTCTTCGTCTCATTTTTTCCCACTCTTTTCTTTCTCTTTTTCTTATAGACTCCTTATTCTCTCATTCTTTTTCTTTCCCTTTCTTCCTCTCTCTCTCTTTCTTTCTCCCACCTCCCTCTTTCCCTCTGTCTTTTTGCATTGCTGACCGCAGTTCATTCCTTGCACACAGAAGGCAATTTAGCAAAACTAAGCTGACCAAGAATAACCATTGTAACAAATGAAATAAAATCAGAGGATTAGTTTCATTAACAATTATAACTTTCTCTTCCTTTCCTCACTGTTTCTTTTCCCCATTCTCTTTCTATCGTCCTACGGCTCTTTAGAAATACCCCTAGAAATATTCTACTGTACCTATAGGAATTGCCATAGAAACATATTGCTTTCCCAACGTCATCTATATTGAAAGATCAGCTTAGTATTGATGTGAATATCACATTTGGCTAATGCTACTCGCAGAGAGTTAATTGTAATTGAAGATTCTTGTTAAAGAAACATCTCAGTTTTACACGTGGAAAATATTGCCATATGAATAGACAAGCACTTACAGGAATGACTATAGATAATTTCAGTTCAATATAGTAGTTTATAGAGAGATGTATAGACATACAGTGTATGATATTTACACGTACAAAAAAAAGCGTATCTCTATACCTACTTATACACACACGATATAAACAGATACATATACATATACACACATATGCACACATATATATGTATCAATATGCATATAGCTAGCTAGATAACTAAATATATATATGCTTGTAATACACATACACACTCACACATACATACATACATGCATACATACATACACATACACACACACACACACACTTTCACACACACACACACACACACACACACACACACACACACACACATATATTTACATAAACACATATTGTATGTATGTGTGCCCATGTATTAACATTACACAATATATATATATATATATATATATATATATATATATATATATATATATATATATATAAATATATAGATATATGTATAAAGCATTACACTATATATATATATATATATATATATATATATATATATATATATATATATATATATATGTATATATATGTAAATCTATCTATGTGCGTGGATATATATATATATATATATATATATGTGTGTGTGTGTGTGTGTGTGTGTGTGTGTGTCTGTGTGTGTGTGATATATATATATACATATGTATATACATATATGTATATATATATTTATTTATGTATCTATGTTTGTATATATGCATATCTATCTATCCATTAATAGTATTTACCTATGTATTCATTTATATTTCAATCTTTAGTTTGACTTTTTTATGTGTATATTGGCCTGATCGATACCTTAAGGAATACATTTCGTAGCCAAATCTATTATAAACTATTTTGAGAATTCAATTTAGAGATTCGTAAGTTTTTGGGTTAAAAAATAAAGCTTTCTATTGCCTGATATGCCAACCGTATGAACTGTAAGTCTGAACTGAGCGGAGTGGCGTAAAACCGATAATTTACAGCTAATATGTTAATGTGGAAAGGAGGAATCATTATGCGCAGAGCCGTGAATGATATCAACGGAATTAATTATAAGAACAGTTTCGAAATCAGCTGACTAAAACCTCGGTCATTTTAATTTCAAGATAAAAATAACGGTGGAGTCGTGTAGCTATGCTGTACTTACTGAACAAAACAACTGAAGGTTTTTGGTGATTTTCTACAACGGTTTTTAGATTTTTTATTTTATCTTTATTTTCATTTTATTTTATTTTATTTTACTTTTCTTTTTCATATGTCTGTGAAATCTGATGAGTCATCGTGGCGCTGCATTTCATCGTCCTAATCGCTGTTATGTCAGTAAATAACAGGTATATCTATATGTCTATCTATCTGTGATATTACTAAACTGTTTATATGTCTGTCTGTCCGTGTGTCGCTTGATTTATTTATTTTTTGTGTGTGTGTGTTTATCTGCGTATGCTTTATGTGTGCGTAATTATGTACGGCATGAAGAGGAATCACAAATACACAAGCAAGAACTGCCGAAGCATCACTTAGATAAACCTGATGACTTAAAAAAATGAGATTAGATTAGATTTAGACAATTTTTGTTACTGGCAACTACCTGTACTTTTTTGCATTTTATTTATCACTCTATCTTGCGTTCAGGATACTCCTATATGCATCTGAAAAAGATAAAGGAAAAAGGTATAACTTCAAACTAATACAGGCTGATGAATAGAAAAAAAAACGCAAATATAACTTTCAGACAGAAAATTTCAAACTAATCTAAGCAAAAGCGAAACCGAAAAAGTGAACTCAAAAAGTCAAGTCACAGAATTCTTTCGTTCAAGATCCGAATACTTTTTGGCGTTCAAGGTGACACTGGCGCGGCGGCTGAGTATAAATTGAAGCCAAGACAAGACCACCGCGACAGTTGCTCTGCCAAACAATCACAGTCATGAAGGTTCTGGTGAGTTAAAATACATTATTCAGTAGCTCGTATTTTTCTCAATTTCTTAAAGAGAGAAAAAAATCTGTAACAATTATTATGGGATATAGCCAATACTGTTATTCAATTGCACAGTTGATCGTCGCCTTGGCACTGGTCGCCCTGGCCGCCGCCCGACCCTCCGACGTGATCGACATCGAGCAGGACCACATGGAGCACGAGCAGGAGGGCGTGCCGGGAACGGCCGTGGAGGGCGAGTACTCGTGGGTAGCGCCCGACGGCAACGAGTACCATGTCAAGTACGTCGCCGACCGCTTCGGTTACCGAGTCGTCGAGGACAACGTCCTTCCGGAGTTCCGCGACGCCAAGCCCACCGGCGAAGCAGAGGAGGACGACTAATGCCATGCTTTGGATTGTGAAATACTTAAGTCATATGCTTCCAAGCTCAATCAAAAGAATGTAGATACTGTATCCGCGAGAGGAAAACTCTTATAATAAATATCTTACGATATAATGCTCTAATTTGATATCATTTCCACAGAAAAAATACATCTCACACAAATACACGGAAGAAGCATACACCGTAACATCCACATATTAGAATTACTGAAAATAAGTGTTAAAAATAAAAAAAGACGTGAATACACAAAATTTAATAAATACAAATTCTGTTCCATGGAGACCCATACATACCTTAACTCTGCAACAAATCATAGTATATAGCACAAAAAAAAAAAGAGAGACAAAAAAAAATCACGTACTGAATTCCAAACGGATATACCCTGTGATAGAACCTTTTCCCTATATCTGATAAACTGGAGTCATTTTTATACGTAAATCCGGTGCTTATGCTAAAGTCCCTCCTTGTGTCTGGTTAACTGCAGTGCAATAACTATGTACCGGATGACAGTAAGACGGAGTATGTGATAATTATGACTTTTATTTGCATATTTTTTACTTTGCAATAGGACTCTAACTTTTTAATCTAGTAATTCTAAGTGAATATGAATCATTCTTTTATGTCTTAGAGGATTCGTCTATAATTCTACGAGTATATTATGATTAAATAGTTTAGGTTCCAATTCTAACCAAGGCGGTTCTCATACTCTCTCTGTCTGCCTAGCGTCTCTCCCTTTTGTCTCTTTCTCATTCTCATCTTTCTTCTCATTCATTCTCTCTCCTCTCTTTTTCTTTCTAAACTGTCTGTTTTTATTTTTTTCTTATCTTTTTCGTCTCTCTCCATCGCTCTCTCTTTAGTTTTTGTCTTTAGAATGTAAAAAGACATTTTGCATTATTAACGCAAATAACTTGAAACATAAAATGATGTTACCATTTTAAGTTATACAGTATAGTTAGATGCGATCATGAAGTGCCAAGACTAAACCTTTAATCAGAAAAGACTCATATGTGACTGAAATCTGGCCGCCATTGCCTTCGAAGCTGGTACAATAGTGCTAATAAGCTCTCGGTGATTAGACCGTATCTTGGGAGTTCCATTCTTAATAAACAACAACTCAAACTAGAAGGTGTTTTTTGGAATACACATGCACACAACATACATGTGTATTCCATATATATATATATATATATATATATATATATATATATATATATATATATATATATATAAACACGCAACTACAATCACACACATATGTTTGAAAGCGTGTGTGCAGTTAAAAGAGATTAGAGCACAGATTGACTTTTAAACAATCCATAGATCTGTCATACACCAAATACATAACATTTATCTCCTTGTTCATTGCCCACCTTTATTTAAAGGCAGCGTGTTCACAAACACACCCTACTCGAAGCAACCAGCATGGGCAAAAAGGTGTCAAGTGGTCAAAACACAAATAAAACCGGAATGTTGCCATCGCAAGGTCAGTCACAGACTTCGCCCATCATTTAGGCCCGAAGATCGCTGCCCTTGAAGCTGACGACGGCGACGGATGTGGGTATAAATTGCGGCAGGACAAGCACAGGACAACAGTTGCTCTACGAAACCCATACAAACATGAAGGTTCTGGTGAGTAACAGGGCTCAGTATGATGGCTTTCATTTTGCTTTCAGTTACAATAGTAGCTTCTCCAATGCTGTAAACTAAAGATAATATGGAGGCTCTGGTGAGTTCATGCATTCTGTAGGTTTTACATGTTTCTGTCAATGCTACTTATAATATATATTTTATATCCACTTTCCAGCTGATCGTCGCCTTAGCACTGGTCGCCGTGGCCGCCGCCCGACCCTCCGACGTGATCGACATCGAGCAGGACCACATGGAGCACGAGCAGGAGGGCGAGCCTGGAACGGCCGTGGAGGGCGAGTACTCGTGGGTAGCGCCCGACGGCAACGAGTACGTCGTCAAGTACGTCGCCGACCGCTTCGGTTACCGAGTCGTTGACGACAACGTCCTTCCGGAGTTCCGCGACGCCAAGCCCACCGGCGAAGCAGAGGAGGCTGACGACTAATGCCACGGCTTTGATGCTGAAATATTTATCACATGTATACTTTAGGTTGTAGTCAAAGGATGACCTTTGGGGAAAATCCCTAAAATAAACATCTTATGATAAAGTTTCTTAGTTTGATATCTTAGTTTAGTGCACTATATATAAGCGAAGAGGAATAAATATTGATTTGACAAGCAACGAAATGCAAATTGAAAATAAGCTGAAAAGCAAGGCTAAACTGACAAATTGGGAACTTCTTAGATCTTGAAAACTGAAGTAATAATATCCGATATGACACGTAACAGATAATATACAAATGATAAAAATAAATGAATAAATGAATGGAATAGAGTATGCAGTCTTACTAAAAACTATTCAGTAGTTTAAGATGTAGGATCAGTCTAATTGAACCATCAAATCCTACATATTAACGAAACCCTCCAATATCCTACAATACACTGCCAAGTAAAACTTTTAATCGAGAGTACATAACATACAGTTGTTCTGTTCATACCAGATAGACTAGAGCATTACATCTACTACCACTGTTATTTATTATAGTTATTTAATTTCCTTAGATTTACAATATGAAAACGAAGAAACATTGTGTTAAATAAGCGCACTGAATCTCGAAAATCGTTATTTTGTATCATTATATATAAGGATCATTTCCCTTATTCGTTTGTGGTGCCAACATTAATATGTCCATCTTTTGTTATCTACCAGTAAGATAATGGTATAAATGGGTAAGTTATTTGTTACTGGATTGTGATATTCTTTAACTGCTGCATTGTAAATTTGCTTAGTCTGATGCCATTTGCAACTCTATGAATGGGTATAAACAGATTTGCATATAGTCATCTTTAGATAAAAAGAAATAATAAAAAATCAAATACTAATTCTTGTTAAAAAACAAACAAATTTTGTATCTAAAATAGTAAGCATTTTAATGATATGGCTAAACCTTTACAATAAAAAATAACATAATTGTTATTAAACCATGCAAATATTAAGCAACCTAATTTTGCTCTTTTTAATAGTATTAACAGTAGTAATGTTATTATCATGATAATGATAATAATGGCTATAACAGCAATAATGATAATGACAATATTAGCAAATGAAACAAAAAAAAATTCTCTCCTTCCTCCTCCCCTTTCTCTTTCCTACTTTCTCCCTCCTTTCTCTCAATCCCTCTTCTCCCTCATTCCTCGTCTCCCTTTCTCTTCCTCCACCCCTTTCTTCTCTCTTGCCCCCCCCCCCTCTCTCTTTCTCTCTTCTTTTTCTCCCATTGTCTGATCATTCTTTTTATAAATGCTTCAAACCGCTTCATTATCTCTTATATGCATACAATCTTTTATAAAAGGAGCATTTTGGTGAAAAATGTCAGCAGGTTAGCTTATGATGCAAATAGTTCGGCAGATTAAAAGATACATTTAGGTATAAATAATCAAGGTCTTCTGAGGAGCAGGTTAATGCTAGATCAACTGCGACACATGTATATCTGCTTGCAAATATATATGCGTACATACACATACATGCGTACTTAAATATATATACATATACACATATATACATATTCATACTTGTTTGCATACAAATAAACAAACTCTCTCTCTCTCTCACACACACACACGCACACACACACACACACACACACACACACACACACACACACACACATATATATATATATATATATATATATATATATATATATATATATAGCGTGTGTGTGTGTGGAAGTGTGTATAAAAGAAAGAAGGAAAGATTGAAGAAACAAACAAACAAAAAATATATACATATATTTGTGCGTATGTATATACACACCCACAAACACACAAATCTCTCTCCTCTCTCTCTATATATATATGTATATATATACACATATATACATATATATATACACACCAGCTATACCAAAAGATAGCTTAAGTACATAGTCATACGCATCATAAATATAACATCCACCATTTGTTTGAGGTTTTCGCCTAAGTGTTCACTCACACATACATAACAAAACAAACAGAAAAGCGACAGTTCGTTACGGTGAGGCTCATTAAATCGAAAAGCTCGACTCCCAAGGTCGGTCCAAAAAAGCGTCCATCGGTGAAGGTCCGGAGGCTCGTCCCTTGAAGGCGGCCGCGGCGATGGCTTTGGGTATAAATTGCGGCAGGACAAACCCAGCGCTACAGTTGCTTGACTTGGCCCTTGCAAACATGAAGGTTCTGGTGAGTTAGAATAGGCTATAGATGCGCCTTTGATGATGACCAGATTCTATAGCTTCATCATGGCTCACGACAGAATAACTTGGGAAATTAAGACATTTGAGATAATTCTAGTGATTTATAGAGCAGTAAAACGCCCAATTATTTGAGCATAAACCGTGTTCCATTCCCCAGCTGATCGTCGCCTTGGCACTGGCCGCCCTGGCCGCCGCCCGACCCTCCGACGTGATCGACATCGAGCAGGACCACATGGAGCACGAGCAGGAGGGCGAGCCTGGAAGGGCCGTGGAGGGCGAGTACTCGTGGGTAGCGCCCGACGGCAATGAGTACGTCATCAAGTACGTCGCCGACCGCTTCGGTTACCGAGTCGTCGAGGACAACGTCCTTCCGGAGTTCCGCGACGCCAAGCCCACCGGCGAAGCAGAGGAGGAGGACTAGTCCCACGGCTTGGAATCTCAAATATTGTTCCTTTATACAGTTCTGGGACTGAACTATAAAGCTATATCTCTTGTGACCTGAGGGGGAATATTTCTTGAACAATAAATTTATATTTAAGTATAGCAGTGTATTTTATTCAGGCCTCAATAAGGGGGCAACCCGAAGGGTAAATGATAGAGGTAAAATCATACATATTCGTGTGAAAGTACATAGCTAGAAATAAAATTCTGGACAGAATCAGTCCATCGCCATAATTCGCTCAGTAGTAAAGTTCTATTATTGGAAACTGATGCATTATACACACACACACACACACACACACACACACACACACATATATATATATATATATATATATATATATATATATGTAGAATACACACACACACACACACACACACACACACACACACATATATATATATATATATATATATATATATATATATATATATACACATATATATGTATTTTTTTTCCAGAATCGTTGCTTTAGATAGCCACCAACGTATTATTATTACTATTATCATTATCATTATCATAGTCACTGCCATTATCATCATTATTCATAATCCTTATTACAATGATTGCTGCTGCTACAACTATCATAATCATTCACCTTTGTTAGTTAAACATTAATATTAATCTTGCATACGATAGAATTCACCGTTCATCAGTGTTGCAAATCAAACTTCCGTTACTTTCATCCACATTATAAGCAAATTCGAACCGAAACCAGACATTCGAATAGCAACATCTGCTCCTATCGCAACTGAAGCTGAAAAACTGAACTAGCAAGGTCGCCCCCCCCCCCATGCGCTGATCAATTCAAGGTCCGAAGATTACTGACCTTCATCAAGGTAGTCACAGCGGGGTTGTTGTATACTGTAGCTAGGACAAGCAAAGAACAGTTTTTGACTAAGCCCATTAAGTATTGAAGGTTCTGGTGAGATACAACATACTGTAGTTTGGTTGTATTGAATTTCCGTTTCACTTACACATCTTTTATTGTATATTCTGTCTCATATTCAGTTTAGGATATTCGTCTTTCAATTTTCAGATCAGTAACAGACTTTATTTGAACATGCTTTCGATGTATATTAGCTTGAATATACATTATATTCATATACTTTATATTCATAATTTCTGTAGCTATAAAATGAAATTTATATTGATATTGATCAGATTTTTTCCTCACTTATTGTCCGGTTAGATGCTTTTTATATAGTTAAATGTCCTTTTCGATATTCGTAAGTGTCTAAGATAACATAGTCATGTATAAAAAAATGTCATAATGAACCGAGACCGACAATTAGTGCTAATGGAGGAATAACCAAGAAAGAGTGAAACGAAACATTCTCTTGGTCCAGTGAACCCCATTCGTTCTGGAAGGTTGCCGATTCGTATTGCAAACACCGAGGATTCGGCTAATGAGAGTTTCAAAATCTTAATTACTGTTCATTAATCTGTGTTCTAGGAATTGATGGATGTTCTTATTTCGATTAAATGAAATATCACAACGTATAAAAGTAATCTAAGAATAAAACTGGACATAATATTTGATGTAGACAATATGAAAATATCAGTTACGTTTCTTGCACTTTGGAATTTTCATTCTTACTTCTCGGTCGCATTTGCCAATAAAACTCAGAAATCATTCCTTCGTTTTCATTGTTGTTGTTATCATCGACATTAATATCCTTCAAAAGCCTTACATACGTTATTCTATTTTCGCGAAGATAATATGTACGTGAGTGTGTATGTGTGTTTGCATGTGTGTATAAGTTGGATAGAGATAAAACTAGAGAAACATAGATAAATAAAGGGCTGGATAATTAGTCTATACATTTATGTAATCTTTCCCTAATTCTGTTATCATACGGATTGGAAATCTGAACAATATCAGTCTTTCTTCGTACTGGATTCATCACGAAAATCTGCTATACGAAACGAAACATGGATTAAATTGAAGACAGAACTACCGTTTTTTCAATACCCTTGATAGCGATAAACCGGAAAATAAACGTGTATCATGAAACGTTTTCTCTGTGGTTTTATTGTTTTTAATATATATGCTACGACTACGACTAAATACGTCCTCGCTGGAAGAAAGATTATACTAATTAAATAAATTAATGAATGCGTTATTTTTCTTACCTTTAATAATTATCAGTTATGGCAATACATATATAAACTATCAGTCATCATTTTTTTTCTAAAATGATCAACCGTTCGGAAATGGAAACTGTATTACATAATCTACAGCTACTGAGAACACGTGTATGAACATGTGCGGCAAAGTAAGCTCATTTTTATCATTCAGAATATTGTGACAAAACGAGCAAAGTATCGTAACAGCTCCAGAGAAAAGATGAAACCAGCCATCGAATAATCGTTCCGAGAATTATGCAAATGAATCCCTCCCCCCCCCCAAAAAAAAGAAAAAAAGAGAAAGAAAGAAAGAGAGAAAGAAAAACAAACAACCACAAGAGAGGTTCACCCTGACGAGAAAAATAACATCCAACCGCATCCAACAAGACATGAAAAACAATCATGAGCCAATATATGCGTGCGTCTTCTGTCCCTTTAAACCTCCAGGACTTGCCATATTCTCTACACTATTTTTAGATGTCTGTAGAATACAAATCTGTCAAGAAATGAAATCGTGGTTATTTAGCCATTGTAGGAGTGTGTGTGTGCGTGCCTCCCCATAAGATCTAGATAAGAAAACACACAAGGTCACACACGATGAATTCAAAGTCTGCACTCCTTTGATCTGCAAGGTCGTATAGGTGGCGTCGCCGGGTATATATAGTGGCCAGGACAGTCAACGAGCAACAATCGTCTCTGCTGAGTCCTTGCAAACATGAAAGTTCTGGTGAGTTAGAGCAGAGTTTGGTGTATACATGAGATATCTTGGATTACACATCAATTAAGTAGTTGATAGTAAATTAATGAGTAAGATATCATAAGTTCATACTATCAATGTAAGATTATATGTATACACATATATATATATATTTTACATTGACAATATGTACTTATATATAAATAGATAGATAGTTAGATAGATAAATATATCTCATACTCATTTAGCCTTCAATGAAATATTTTACAGCAAAATGCTTTTGGCAAGTCAGCATATTTGGTGTATTTCCACTGTATTTTAGATCAGTTATCTGAACGCAAATCCTAAACTCACCTTCGATTCCTCAGCTGATCGTCGCCTTGGCACTGGTCGCCGTGGCCGCCGCCCGACCCTCCGACGTGATCGACATCGAGCAGGACCACATGGAGCACGAGCAGGAGGGCGAGCCTGGAAGGGCCGTGGAGGGCGAGTACTCGTGGGTAGCGCCCGACGGCAACGAATACGTCGTCAAGTACGTCGCCGACCGCTTCGGTTACCGAGTCGTCGAGGACAACGTCCTTCCGGAGTTCCGCGACGCCAAGCCCACCGGCGAGGCAGAGGAGGAGGACGAGTAGACGAACGACCTGAAATCCACTTCATTTGTCTTTCATTAAAAATAAATAAATAAATAAAAATGGGCGTAAAGCTACTCAGAGTTATATGAAAAACGAAATCAATAATAAACTTATTTTACAAAATAACGAATTTTTTCTTCCAATCCTTTCATAAACAGACACAGAACAGAGTGAAGTAAAAATTTAATGTTTTTTCACGTCAAAGACATAAATTCTTTTTAATGCCCACCGAGAATTGGCTGCATGTAATCTAATGTCTCTTTAAAGTGCTGTGGACAGTTATGGCTAGTTTATCAAAACCTGTTCGTAAACCGCCAAGTAATTAAAAAAAAAAAAATTCTGTATATATGTATACTCATATATATATATATATATATATATATATATATATATATATATATATATATATGTATATATATATGTATGTATATATATATATATATATATATATATATATATATATATATATATATGCGCATATATATATATATATGCATATATACATATATATATATATATATATATATATATATATATATATATATATATATATATATATATATATATATATATGCGCGTGTGCATATATATACATACATAAATAGATAGATGTTCATGTGTGTGTGTACATATGTATGCATATATGCATAAATATACATATACGTATGTATACATAGATTATATGTATATATATATATATATATATATATATATATATATATATATATATATATATATATATATATATATATATATATATATATATATATATATATATATATATATATATATATATATATATACGTACATATGCATGTGTATATATACATACACATATATATGTGTATGTATATGTACACATACATATATATATATGCATATACATATATATTTATATAGAGAGAGAGAGATAAAAAGAGAGGCAAAGAGGAGAATTGTGTTCACTTCAACTCCAAATGGAAAATGTAAAATAGTAAAAAGTAAAATGAAAAAGTAAAATACTACTATGATTTTTTTCATAATCAAGTTAAAAGGGTTATCGCTATTAATATGAATGAGTGAAACCAGAAAACACACTCACCAAATCTATCTTAGAAATAACGAATCTTATCGAAAACGTCAAATATCCTCCTACATCTAACAAGATCAGAGTCAACTTCTTCCTTGTTAGGAGGAAATGGGTATCGCCGTTTGAGAGGTTTAATGTCAAACGTTTCAAGCAGTGGCCATAACAGGAAGCCGAAAACGTACGTAATCAAAACGGTATGTTATGCTTGTTCACTGTGGAAGGAGAGATTATAAACATATTCTTAGTCTTTTTATTGAGTGTGGGTCAGTGACATCATTGTTAATTTTGTCAATATTTGACTACGCTCTCGTTTTGAGAATAACAGATATTATTGGAATTTTTTTCTGCTCGCGTCCCCCTCCCCCCTTGGAAATTACTGACACCTTACAATTTAATGTGTGTATTTGTGTATGCGCGCGCGCGTGTGTATGTGTGTGTGAGTATGCGCGTGCGTGCGTGCGTGTGTGTGTGTGAGTATGCGCGTGCGTGTGTGTGTGTGTGTGTGTGTGAGTATGCGCGTGCGTGCGTGTGTGTGAGTATGCGCCTGCGTGCGTGCGTGTGTGTGTTTGTGAGTATGCGCGTGTGTGTGTGTGTGTGTGTGCGGGAGTATGCGCATGCGTGCGTGTGTGTGTGTGTACGTGTGCGTGTGAGAGAGCCTTCAGCTCATTGCAGGTGATATGCTCGTATCCAATTAACATACTCGTTTGTTACTGCAATCTACTTAGCAACTACTGATCTTGGAGCTAAAGACCCCTCCCACATTCGTAAAAAAAAAAATAAACAAACAAGTGAAAAAACTAAAAGTGAAAAAACCCAAGGTCAAATTTCGCCTTTTTCGTCCCCGGACAAACCAGCTCGGCCAAGGGCAAGTTTCGATTTTGAATGGCTGCCCCGCCCGTCGGCCTGCCCCGCCCCCCCCTCCCCCTTCAATCGCCCGCCTCCTCTCTCGCTTCCTTTGCCCCTCTTCCTTCCCTTCCGAAACACACACACACACACACACACAACAGGCACACACACACACACACACAAAAGCAAACACACACACACACATAAAACACACACAGACACACAACAGGCACACACACACACACACACAACACACGCACACACACACACACACACTCGCGCAAACGCACACACACACGCACACACACACACACATACGCACACATAAACACACACACACACACAAACACACATAACACACACACACACAACACACTCACAACTGTACACACACACACACGCACGCACACACTCACAATTGCACACACACACACACACGCGCGCTCGCGCGCACGCATACACACACAAAAGATCTCTTCAATTAGTTTCCCGAATATGGCAACCTCACCGTTGTTGCCGGGTGTGTGACGAGGCAAGAATCACGGGCACTTCTTTGAACTCTTACGAAAAATCTGTCTTTTTTTTTTTTTGTTAATGTTCTTTTTTCGCTATTTATTCATTTGTCTTTTCTCTGTCTCGTTCACTCGTTTCTTGCTCTCGCTCTCTCTCTCTCTCTCTCTCTTTCTCTCTTTCGCTAATTCTATTTTTTTTTTCTCTCTCTCTTTCTCATGGTCTGTATCCCGTTTTCTTTATATATATATAATCGTTATTCAACTGTTTTATCTCCTCCTTTATTCATGAACCTCTCTCTCTCGCTTTCTCTCTCTCTCTCTCTCTCTCTCTCTTTCTCTTTCTCTCTCTCCCTCCTCCCATCTCTTTCCCTCCCTCCTCCCATCTCTCTCCCTTCCTCTTCATCCACCTATCTACCTATCCATCTATCTCCCACTTCCTCATTCTGCCTTAATTTCCACCGTGCGGTGGGCGTGGCAACCAAACCCGTTTCGTCTCTCTCCCGGGCGCCTTTTGACAGCTTTTTGTCCAGCCTCTCGCACGCACCGCTCGGCAATGGCTAATGGCCTGGCGTTGGCCTCAAGTTCATTTTTGAACTGATTTTTGTCATTGCTGATCCTCCTCTTCCTCCTCTTCTACCCCTTACTCCTTCTCCTTCTTCTTCTTCTTCTTCTTCTTCTTCTCCTCCTCCTTCTCCTTCTCCTTCTCTTTCTCTTTCTCTTTCTCTTTCTCTTTCTCCTCCTCCTCCTTTTCCATCCCTTCCTCCTTCTTCCCCTTCCCCTTCTCCTTCTTCTTCTCCTTCTCCTCCTCCTTCTCCTTCTTCTCCTCCTCCTCCTCGTCGTCGTCCTCCTCCTCCTATTCTTCCTTTTTCCTTCTCATCTGCTCCTCCTTTCCTTATGCTTATTCATAATACTAATCCTAACATTATTTCTTCTTCTTCACCCTTCTTCCTGTTATCATGCACTCCACCTCCTCCTCCGTTCTCCTAATCCACCCGTTCTTTATCATTCGTCTCTCTCCCTCTCTCCACTTATTTTAACCTCCCGTCCACTCTCGCTTTCAAAAGGATCCGGTCGCCTGAGCCATTTCCACTTCGACTGAATGGAAATCCAGACAGATAGTATATAAACACGTCTAAAACCTGTTTTGTAACGGTAATAGGTTCAAGTACTGTCTTTGGAGGAAATATTATTACTTTCCTTTGAGTGTTAGTAATGTTATTAGTGAGTTTTGTAATGTAATGGAAGGTAATTGTGTATTATTTTGTGATTATCATTATTATTATCAAACAGTCTTTACTATCGTTATGTGAGTATCGTTAGTATTATTTTCACCATTCTTAGTGTATAACTATCAATTAAAATATCTTTAAGAGACCAATCATTAAAAAACTGTCGTAAATGTAACGTAAATGAAACCCACTTGGTTACAATCGCATTATTCCCCTGAGGATTTTCAACACGGCTGGTCA